TATATTGTGGTTTATACTGTTACTGTTAAATAGAATTACACACACCACAAAAAAAGGTCAATGAATAAAACACAGAGTATTGTCTTCCAAAGCTGAAGCAGTGTAAAGTTCAGTGGTGTGAGTGGGAGAACTGGTTTGTACCTTGCCGAAGCGTGTGGAAAATGTCCCTGTCAGGAGCGAGTGGAAAATGATGATGGTCTATGTCCCCGTCAGGAGCGAGTGGAAAATAATGATGGTCTCATCCAGGTCCCAAATAAACACTCTCTACACACACACACACACACACACACACACACACACACACACACACACACACGATGAGCATGAGCACAAATATAATCTGCTTACTCGTCAAGAAAAGTATTTACTCCAAAAACACTGCATATTATCTCAGTGCTGTGTATATGATAATAATGGCTGATAATTTTAGTCGGTTCAGCCACATTTCACAGCTTATGGGCAGACAGGCAAACGCTCTGTATCCATTGTTCATAAACATTTTACAGTTTTCTTTGTCTGGTAATCAAATACACATATCGATATTTCAATATACAAAACTAAGAAATACATGCAATATAATTAATAGAGCAAAGAATACATAAATTAGTCATTTTATTTCAGTCGTCTTTTGTTCAAACCTGTGTTACTTATGATGATTTAGCAGAGTTTTGAAACTTTTATTTTGCTTTTGGTAATTTTTGTAAATCAGTCCTCATATGTTTATTGTATGAAAAAGATTAACTTGGACATTGTGCTAAACGTCCATTCGAAAGAAAGAAACTCATACAGGTTTGGAACAACAAAAAGGTGAGTAAATTGTCAAAATGTAAATTTTGGCTGAACTGTCTGTTTAAATTGTTGAATGAGGTTTTTGCCAGACATCATTGCACAACTCTAGGTTGGATGTGAAAGTAATCCCTGCGGTACGGAGCACAGGAATGTTAATGAAAGGCGTTGTGTAAGGACACCGTGAAGGCCAGCGTCTGTACCTCAATGTCAGAGTCCAGAGGGGGGACGGGGTCATTGGCCCTCTTCCTGCCTCTCAGCTTCCCATCTGAGCTGCGTCTCGCTGGAGTGCCTTCCTGCTCCTTTCCTGGAGTCAGAGGACTCGTGGGCGTGTGGTACTCTGCTGTTACACACACACACACACACACACATGTGATGACATGTCATATACAGACATACAACCAAATATCTCAATACCAAAGCAAATAGTCTTGAAAGTTTTATAAAAGCATATATCTTTCCCTTGGATGTTATAAGTTGTATATATATATATATATATGATATAAATACTAGTATTTTTTAACACATTTTTCATATATTTTTTTGTCTTACTACTTTTAATAAGCATTCCGTATATCTAATATAAAAACAATACTTGCATATGTACATCAGTCTCATCATTTCTGACCATAGAGCTCACCTGTGTGTAATTCCGGGCTGTGATTGGTCGATACAGCGGGATGATCTGTGTGCTGATAGGGTATCGCTGTGGTGATGGCTGAGGGTGTGATATTGCTGGTTGTGATGTAGGGGCTGTTGTAGTGTGTGTTGAAGTATGGCGAATATTGACTTTGGCTGTAGCTAGAATATGTTGAGAAGTCCTGATGGAGACAATGACATGAATGAATCATCTCAGACTACTCCATACTACTTAGTATGTCTCGTTTTGTACATTTCTGGACCATCTAAACCCTATTGTAGCACTCATTAATGGTTGGCTAAAATGCCATGGTAGTCAAATGATACTGTAATGTACTAAAAAATGCCATGGTTATGCTACTTTTTTTTACAAAGCTACAACAATATATCAGTCTCCAAGGGTGGCTGTATTCCATCAGTGAAGGTGCTGCGTGAGGCATTTTTCCTAATTTGACCCACCTGCTGTGTAGGACTGAATGGCGTTGAGCCTGTGATGCTGTTTGCACCCTGGAAAATTCCAGAAGAAATGTTGCCGCCTGGAAAAGAAGCACAAGTCTAGTTTAAGAGCGTACTTCGAGCTGACTGTGGTAAAGACACTCCAAAGCGCACGATCCAACACAAACACAGCGCAGGAAACACGACAGGCAGCGGCCGAGGAATGGCTTGTGGACGGCTGGTGAAATACAGACACGTTTAAAGCGCTCAGAGAAAGTTTGCTTGATTTATGACTATGAAAACAGTTGAGGTGAGAAAGGGCAGCGTGGAGCACAGAGCAAATCCGTCTCTGTTATCAGACTTTCAGAGTCTGAATGTCTTTCTCCAGGCCTGTCTAGTTCCCCTTTCTCTGTCTCATTCCCTTCATATTTCCGCTCGTTGGCTTTCTGAAACCTGCCCTAGATAAATTACTCTGTCAAAACAGCGCGAAATCTCAAAGGAAGCTAGCAAAAAGTCTTCAAAGGGGGAGAGAGGGAAGTGGGCGAACGCTGGGGCCGTGTGAATGTCTTTCTCCAGGCCTGTCTAGTTCCCCTTTCTCTGTCTCATTCCCTTCATATTTCCGCTCGTTGGCTTTCTGAAACCTGCCCTAGATAAATTACTCTGTCAAAACAGCACGAAATCTCAAAGGAAGCTAGCAAAAAGTCTTCAAAGGGGGAGAGAGGGAAGTGGTCGAACGCTGGGGCCGTGTTTCTGATTTTCTCCACAGCGGTGAAACGCGAGGACCTTTGGCACCCGGAGAAGGGTTATTTATTTCATGCTACAGCGGGTCTCCTGTTGGAATTTGCCTATAAATCAAACGAGACCGGCGAGATGTAGCGCGAGACGTAGTAAGCGCGTTTTCCCAGACCCATTAGAAATGCATCCATTTCACAAGCAGACAATTTTACAGTAAATGATGTCTTGGGACGCTTATGAATTACCGTAAATCACTGTAATACGTAATAGATTATATTATCTGCCATAGCACCAATATCTCATTGATTATGCTAATTAGACAGACAGGAAGTAGACGTCTTGTGCATTATGATCTGTGAGACTTGAAGTCTCTTCTGCGCACCAAGGCTGCATTTAATTGATTAAAAATACAGTAAAAACAGCAAAATTGTGAAATTTTATTACAATTTAAAATAACTTTTCTATAGGAATATATGTTAAACTGTAATTTATTCCTGTGATCAAAGCTGTATTTTCAGCATCATTCCTCCAGTCTTCAGTGTCACATGATCTTCAGAAATCATTCTAATATGTTAATTTGCTGCTCAAGAAACATTTCTGATTATTATCAATGCTGAAAACAGTTTTGTGTGAGGAATAGACTGATATTCAAATCAATATTCCCTAAAAATCTTCCCTTCCACTGTAGCACTTAATATCATTCACACATTTGGCATGGTTATAGTAGTTATTATTACAGTTTTTGTTCATATTTAAAATGTTTATATTTTCAGTTTTCATTTTAATTTTAGTTACATTTTTAGTAATTTTGTTATGCACTTTTGTCAGTTCATTAGTTTTAATTTTTTAATATTATAATTTCATATAAATTAATTTCATCTATTGATGTTTTAAAAAGAAAATTCAGCTTATTTCAATGAACAAAAATGTTTTTAATCATTTTCATTAACGATAATAATAACCCTGCCACACAAAAAGCTATCATATGGCTTTATAAGACTTTATTATCTACATCTATGTTGCTTTTTCACCCTTGATGTCCTTGTTTTGTCCCTGAACAGCCCGTGGCCACTATTTGCTTTCACTGCATGGAAAAAGCACCTCTAATTCTCTTCAAAGCATCTCCTTTTGTGTTCCACGGAAGAAACATCATAAGGCTTTGGAACGACATGCGGGTGAGTAAATGATGATGACTAGTAAATAATTCTGTTCCTTTAACCCTGAAAACGTGCCTGGTGCCACTTCACCTTTGACCTTGACCGAGAGCGGTCAATTTCACACTGCGGTGCCAAAATCAGGACTGCGGGCAGAAGAGGGGGGACTGACTGCTGTCCGACGCTCAGATCACACTAATACGCTCCTCCAATGGCCGGCGTGTTGCGGAGGGGAGCGGAGAAAGGTTCTGACCTCCTGAGAGAGCAGAGAGAGACGCCTGACGCCAGGAGCCAGACCGCGGATAATGGGGAACAGGTGTGTGTGTGTGTGTGTGTGTGTGTGTGTGTGTGTGTGTGTGTGTGCGTTGAGGGGATCGACTGTAGATGGCACCTGAAAAGCTGTGTGTGTTTGTGGGGATTTTGCTAACTATCAACCCAACATAGATGATCAAAACCATGTGTATTTTTTGTATTGTGAGTTAAATATTATCAACTAGAATTTTCATGAATATATTACACAACCTTTGGATATGCGATTCTGATTGGTCAAATATGTTTGCATAATGATGCTAAACTGTATAATTGACTGTTAGGCAAGCAATTTCCAACGTGGCTGCACTAGCATCATGCCATAGTTCTGAGCTCCATGTCTCGAGTTTTTTTCTGTAGCAGTGACAGGCTGACTATATGTTCTTTATTTTTTATTTTCGTTAAGAAATTAATACTTTTATGCATCAAGGATGAATTAAATTGCTCAAAAGTGACAGTAAAGACATTCTGTTCTTTTGAACTTTCTATTCATTAAATCATCTCGAAAATAAAAATACCACGGTTTCCGCAAAATTATGAAGCAGCACAACTCTTTTTAACATTTATAATAACCAGAAATGTTTCTTGAGCAGCAAATCAGCATATTATAATGATTTCTGAAGGATCATGTGACACTGAAGACTGGAGTAATGATGCTGAAAATTCAGTTTTGATCACAGAAATAAATGACATCTTATAATATACTCACATAGCAAACAGTTATTTTAAATTGTAATAATATTTCTCATTATTACTGTTTTTACTGTTTATTTGATCAAATAAATGCAGCCTTGGTGACAGAAGACACTTCTTTCAAAAACATAAAAAAAAAAAAAAAACGTACAGATCCCCGAACTTGGAACAGTAGTGTGCACATTTTTGTTTTATATATATATAATTTATTAATATTAGTCATTCAAAAACTAAAATTCCTTTTCAAATTACATTTTAAAGTTAGCCTATTACATATAGAGAATTTTAATTGTTTGTAATTGAACAGTCATGTAAATTACGACGGACACTTTTTGGCCACTAGATATATTTACTGAATTCACATGCTCAGAAAATCCAGATATTATTGAATAATTCCCGCAATAATTCACTCAGTGTTTATGTTTGCCACAGCAGATCAAGCACTAACAGGAAAGGGGGACTAAAGGTCAGTTGCACACCACTTGTCCTTATTTTCTCTGCATGCAAAGTGACCGGATGCATATTTCCGATACTTTATTGCATGGTTTATTGCTCATTCCAACCTCTAAAATACCATGTAGACAAAATTGTTTACCAAGCTGTTTTATCACATGAAATGATAATATGTGGCTCTTTCAGAGGCGGTTGGTTGTGAGTGACACTGACCGTGTGTGGAGTAACTGTAGAGCGTCTGAGCAGGTGGAGTGCCGCTGAAGTTGGACGTGTATCCCAGCAGACTGCTCTGTCCTGGTGAATGACTCAAACCATCTTCTGTTTTAATATCTGATCGGGTGAGAGAAAGAGACACGACCAGCTGTCAGGTCAACAGTGATGTGCACTACTTAGGGCGGGTGTGAAATGACACTCACTGTAGGACGTCATGCTGTAGCCCTGTGTGTGATGTGTGTACGGTGTGTACGGACCGGCCGGCTGTAACGCAGGGCTGTACTGTGTCTGTCCGTAAGCAGCCATGACTGAGGACAGCGGGTCTGTCAAAGCAAAGAGTTGTAGTTAGAGAAACAGATCTTAAGAATAACTAGATCAAAAAGTTCAAGACAAACTTTAGGTTGGCTTGAGAAAGCCTAGCCTGAAAGTTTAAAGTAGTTGTAAAAGCCTGAAGTTTGAAAATGTAGATAGATTACATAGATGCTGATATCGTGTGATAGCACGATTAGCATGTTTTTAACATGATTGGCTTGTTACTAGCATTTTGCTGGCAGGATTAGCATGTTGTTAGCATGATTAGCAAGTAACTAGTATGTTGCTAGCATTATTAGCCAGTAACTAGCATGTTGGTAGCATGATTAACAAGTAACTAGCATGTTGCTAGCAAGATTAGCAAGTTACTAGCATGTTGCTAGCAAGATTAGCATGTTGCTAGCATGATTAGCAAGTTACTAGCATGTTGCTAGACTGCTCTGTCCTGGTGAATGACTCAAACCATCTTCTGTTTTAATATCTGATCGGGTGAGAGAAAGAGACACGACCAGCTGTCAGGTCAACAGTGATGTGCACTACTTAGGGCGGGTGTGAAATGACACTCACTGTAGGACGTCATGCTGTAGCCCTGTGTGTGATGTGTGTACGGTGTGTACGGACCGGCCGGCTGTAACGCAGGGCTGTACTGTGTCTGTCCGTAAGCAGCCATGACTGAGGACAGCGGGTCTGTCAAAGCAAAGAGTTGTAGTTAGAGAAACAGATCTTAAGAATAACTAGATCAAAAAGTTCAAGACAAACTTTAGGTTGGCTTGAGAAAGCCTAGCCTGAAAGTTTAAAGTAGTTGTAAAAGCCTGAAGTTTGAAAATGTAGATAGATTACATAGATGCTGATATCGTGTGATAGCACGATTAGCATGTTTTTAACATGATTGGCTTGTTACTAGCATTTTGCTGGCAGGATTAGCATGTTGTTAGCATGATTAGCAAGTAACTAGTATGTTGCTAGCATTATTAGCCAGTAACTAGCATGTTGGTAGCATGATTAACAAGTAACTAGCATGTTGCTAGCATGATTAGCAAGTTACTAGCATGTTGCTAACATGATTAACAAGTTACTACCATGTTGCTAGCATGATTAGCATGCTGCTAGCATGATTAACAAGTGACTAGCATGTTTCTAACATGATTAACAAGTTACTAGCATGTCGCTAGCATTTTTCTAGCGTGTTAGCATGTTACTAGCATGTTGCTAACATGATTAGCAAGTAGCTAGCATGTTGCTAGCATGATTAGCAAGTTACTAGCATGTCACTAGTAAGTTTCTAGCATGATTAGCTTGTTACTAGCATGTTGCTAGCATGATTAGCAAGTTACTAGCATTGTCACTAACATGTTTTAGAATTTTTATTTTGTTGTGTTTTTATTTCATTAAAATATAAACATTATTTTTTACATTTTGTTTGGTGTTTTGTAACTTCTTTTTTTTTATATGTCTATATGCTGTCATACTAAAAGAAAAGAATCATTAATTAAATTGTTATCGGAATCATTAGCAAGTCCAATTTGTGAATTACACTTTTTTTTTTTTTTTTTTTTTTTTTTTTTTTTAAAAATAGTTTCAAAATCAATTTTGTAGAGAACAGCACTGGACCAAGGTAAAAAAAAAAAAGCCACATAATTAAAACAGAACTCTTTTTATAAGTGTTTTTTCTTCTTTTACAACTGTGTTTGTGTGTTATTAAAGTAGTTTTGATCAAGTTTACTAACACTTGTATCTCATTCATAGACCACAGTTCTGTTTTTTTGACTGCACTCAGTGAAGAGATGAACATCTCCAGTGAGATCTTCAACACTGATGAGTCGAACTTTTCAGATTGCTACTTTTACAACAACACTGAGGGGAAAACTGTTTTTTCAGTGTTGTGAATTTCTCTTTTTTTTTTTTTTTTTTTTTTTTTTTTTTTACAAATTACTGTTATGAGTTTATTAGTGCTGTCAAATCAATTAATCGTGATTAGTTGCATCCAAAATAAAAGTTTGTATTTACATAATATATGTGGATGTACTGTTTATATGTAAACATAAATACACACATACATGTGTATATTTAAGAAATATATGTAAAATATATTTACACAAAATATGAATCATATATACAAGTAAATATTTCTTAAATATATACATGTATGTGTGTGTATTTATAAATACATCAGAATATACACAGCACACACACACATATATTATATAAACACAAGCTTTATTTGGAATGCGATTTATCACGATTAATTGAATTGTATTAATTGATTAATTG